TTTTTTCACTTTTCATTTGTAGTTCAATTATTACAAAGCTTCGCTACATAAGTGTGCATAATGTATAACTAACTAGAGAAGTATATTCAGCAATCCATCTAGCTCATACAGGGTGTTGCATTTTATAAATTAGACGCAGAGTAGGTGAAAGTTTAGGTTCTACATGAACATTCAGTCAGTTGCTTCTCATAGGCACTTTTTACAATTTTGTTGTTTCACTTTGCAGATTAACAACAATGGCATTTATTTATTGTGCTTCAGTGAAGAATGGATTGCTATAATTATTGCCGTGCAGTTTCGGATATGTAATAAGAAAGGATGTAAGACACATAATGACGAGATAAATGGCAGTTTTATGTTCATTTTCATGTTTTGACTTTGGACTTTGCATGGCCTCAATTGTTCATGGGCGGTGTCCCTTGTTGATTGAATGAATTTTGTGGGCGGTGTCCCTTGTTGAATTAATTTCGTGGGTGGTGTCCCTTGTGTTTATTGTGTTAGGTTCAATTTTGTAAATGTCCATTTTTAAGGGGAAATCATGCCGGATTTTCGAAAAAAAAAAAAAAAAAAAAATTCCAAAAAGGCATGTGGTTGATTTTTGAAACTTGAAATGGATTTTTGTTATTTCAAGGCATAGTAGAATGCAGCCGTTCCGTGGGAAAACCTAACTCTGCTTTATATTTTGCTACTATAGGTAATATCTTGCTTTGGAGTGCAAATTCATTTTTTTCTTTTTTCTTAATGCTTCTTTATATCCTTTTTTGCAGAATCATAAACTATTGTCAACCCAGTACCATGTAATCCATATATGCTCTTGGAAGAACTGGCACTACATTGAAGGCCATGGCAGTAAGTTGTGGGCAGTGGCACCAGTGGGATTTATAGGAAGCATTCTCCAGTTTCTGCTACTCTAGGAAGCTAGTTATCTCTAAGTTAATCAAATGAAGGCCTATACAACTATAAAGAAGTGTGCGTACATTTTATGAAATGAATTTTAGTGATCTCCAGTTGTGTGTACATTTTATGTAAGTATAATGAAGTGTGTGTGTACACACATATTATTTTTAAGGAATTTCTAGCTCCCTATATGTGCAAGTATATATGTGAATAGCATAACAACAATTTATTAAGTTTGTGATGTACAAAAAAAACTTGTGGTCTGGTGTGTTATTTATGATTGATTAAAATCTTACAAAATATTTTCAAGTACTTGTTTGGATGGCAAAATTTTTTCTAGCAGGTTGTTTGGTTATCAAAATAAATACTCAACAAAAGGGGAAATGGTGTCATGAGTTAACAATAAAAAACATTAGCACTTTGATGGATCTCCAGCAGAAAAATTCAAACTAATTTCACTAAAGTAAACCCATTCACAAGCTTCAATGACCATCAAACCTCAACTCTGACCAATTCAAGAAGATCAACATTTTGGCTTTGCTTCTTGTTAGTTTCAACTACAAGGACCTCTCTCTCATTCATAGTGAATTTATATAATATACATATATATATATACATAACAAAACAAAGTTAAATGGAGTGCAAGCTAAAACAAAAAGATAACGGAGTGCAAAAATCTCCTCATTGAAAGATTATTACAAAGTTAAATTTGTAATTTGATTGCCACTAATCATGTTTATGCCTCATAAACATCCCACATGATCTTATTTATACATGTAAATTTATTTATAATTTTTTTTCCCAACTCTTTTAATGTTTTGATATATATATATATATATATATATATATATATATATATATATAAAACAAATTATCTCAAATCATAAAGAAAAATGGACTATTACATATAAATTTATAATTATATTCATATATATAATTATTTAAAACAAAAACAAAACAGTCTTTACCAAACAAGGTATCCTGTTATTGATTCAGAATTGTTGACAACAAAACTAACTTCCCAAACGTGTTTTGTTTTCAGATTCCTTAAAACGCATGCCATTACCAAACGCGTTTTCATGTTTTTGATATACAATTATAAAAAACAAAACAGTCGTTACCAAACATGGTTCTGATTTCTACTAAAAACATATCAATACCAAAACGATTGTTTTCATATCATACCAAACCATAACATATAGCGTTATCGCCATCCAAACGGGCCCTTAGGGTTTTGTATCTTCATCCTCTTCATCCTCATGGACCGATTTCGTAGTCTTCCTGATGATCTACTTCTTCAAATTCTCTCCTCGCTTCCCATGGAAGACATTGCTCGTATCAGTGTCGTCTCAAAAAGACTTAGACATATCTCTATATCTATTCCAGACCTCAATATTAGTTTGGGAGAGTTGCGCGGCACCCGAAAACATCTTTATAAGGGGATAAATAGGTTGCTTACCCTCCGTAAAATTAATGGGGCCACCATACGATGTTTTCGTCTGCTATGTCAACTTTATAGGCCCAAACATGTTAAAGGATTTGATGCTCATGTGAAAAGCTGGATTGCCAATGCTGTTATGTGTAACGTCCAAGAGTTCGATTTAACAATCTCTGCCGATATTATTATTTCTCAAAGAAGAGAGAAGAATATCTCGGATATTGTTTTTTCCCTGCCAATATCCATCTTTTCTTGTCCATCTTTAACGGTCTTTAAATTGAAACTAATCAATGTTATTCTCACAGTGCCAATATCTTCTGATCACATGATTAGTAACGGTGTTTGGTTCAGTTCGCTTGAGGTTTTGTCTCTAGGAGGATTGAGACTTAATCAGGACTTACCTGATAATTGGGTTTCATGTCTCTTCCCTCGTCTTAAAGAGTTGAATCTCGAAGGGGTCGAAGGAATCACCAATCTCAACATCACCAGTTCATCTCTTGAATGCTTAAGTATTTCAAATTCATGGTTGGGTCACCCTGACAAAATCAGCGTGTCTACTGAGAGTCTTGTGACCTTGTCCGTCAATTGGCTTCGTGCTTACTCTGCCAAATTAATGTCATTTACAATGCACAGTGCGCCTAAACTTCAAAAATTCATGTGGAGAGGACAACAGGCGGAAAACTACTACTTCCAAGGGAGTTTTATGTATTTACAGAATTCGACCGTTGGTGATACAAGTACTTTTGAATCAAGTCCAAATTACGAAAGTTTAGTATTTCAGCTTCTTCCATTTGTCAGCCGAGTCAAATCTCTGAAACTAGAGAATTGGATTCTTGAGGTAATTATCTAGCTATTCATTTATAATAATGATTCGGTACTCTCAAACATAACTTTAATATATATATTTTTCTTTAACTATGTCATCAATTCAATTGGAGTTCTTCCACAAACTAATGTTTTTGAATTTTCAGGAGCTGTTTAAAAAAGATGGTCTACCCTATATGATTAATGTAGAAAACTTGGATATACAAGGTTGTTGTAAAAGACAACATAAAATTCCTGCACTGGCCTTCTTTCTGGGAAGATTGCCTAATCTGAAGACGTTGAGTGTGAGCTGCATAGACTACATTCACTTAACACACAAAGTAAGATTAGTAACCATAATGTATCAACTGTTCAATCATTTTTAATCCTTCCTCTTTTTTTCATTTTTTTTTCCCTCACTTTTTGTTTTTAACATCATTATTTTTCTTGTTTCAGTCAACAACACCAGTATCTGATTTATACTACTGGGAATCTCAAGATCTTGAATTTCTACTTTTTATGAAGACAGCAAAGATTGAGATTACAAGAGAGGAATCTGAAATTGGACTCGTACAATATTTGACAAAGCATGCAAAATCACTAGAGAAGATGATAGTCATTTTATCCCAAAAGGAAATTGGGAGAGCAGTTGATCAGATTGTGGAAAAGTTAATAAGATTCAGTAAGAGTTTCAATGAAGGAGCACTACATTTTGTGTTAAAATAAGAAGCTGTTATTTGTGGTGAAATTAACACTTATATGTGAGTTAAATCTTGAAAAGTTAGATGGGATAAACAATCTCAACATTATTGGTTCATCACTTGAGTGTTTAAAGCATTTCAGAAATGAGGATTGATGGAGTCAGAAAGGCTGCAGAGATGATATTTATGTAACCAGGTATACTACAAGCTTGTGTAGAAAATTCTTATTTACTCTTTGTATACCAAACCTTAAAGAATTCATGTGGAGAGGACATTCATATGCAGACGACTACTTCCAAGGGAGCTTTACTTGCCTAACATTCAAAATTACAGGCTTATGAGTTTATCAGTTCAAATTTTTTTTTTTTTTTTTTTTTTTTTCATTGGCAAGAAATTTACACACTCGCTTGTCCCTATAGGAATTCGAATCTTCACCTTCCATTTTGGGAGATAGAGGAGATACCATTAGGGTACACAACACACAGGATTGCACACACCAATAAATATTGATTTCAAAGCTGATTTTTGTTGCTCTGCAATTTTAGGAGCTGTTTGAGGAAGATTTTCTGCTGGATATGTTGAATAATGCGCATAACTTGAAAATACAAGCTTCTTGTAAGAAAATTTTCCAAATCCCTAAACTCTCTTCTAATCAAGTTAGCAAAGCCATTATCATACTCCCAAATTTATTTTATTTTTAATGAAGATGTGTTGTATGATTGATTGGGTGAAATTGGTCTAGTCACTGGTAAACATGACAACAACTATGTGAGAAATATTTAATTTGACTTTAAGGCTGGTTTGTTTGACCGTAAAATAATTTATTTGTAAAATAATTTCTAACACTTTTTCATGTAGAATATTTTCTTTATTTTTTTATTTTTCGGTGTTTGGCAAAAGTTTTGAAAATATTTTTTTTTTGAGGAAATCAAAATTAGGAAATCGAATGATTGTTTTTTTTTTTTTTTTTTTTTGGGTTAAATGGTAAGCTTTATAAAGAAGAAAAAAAAAAAAGAATGTACAAGTGAGAGCACTTGGAGCAAGCAAACAAGTAGCTCACAGGGCAAAATACAACAAACACTCATTTAGTCTAGGCCTCTGTCAAGCTCCACAAACACAAAACAATGAATATCCTCAATCCTATCTTTTAACTCCAGAACTTAAGTAAATGAATTTGCACACCAAGTGTGATTTCTTGCAAAAACACATCCCTGCATGAAAAGCTGCAGCAAGTCCTCTTGCTCACCCATGAGCCTGAGCTTAGCACCTCGGTTCAGCTTCAATGATGAAAGCTTTGCTCGGATACAACTTTTGATAAGGCAGATGATGTGTTGTGGTGATGCAGCTCGATTCTTAAATGCCCTGGCATTTCTTTCAAGCCAAATGAAGTAAACTGCCGCATTGAAAAACAACTTGTGGATATTGAACTGTCTTGATCTCCATGTACTAGAACACCAAGAGATTAACTCTCCCCAACTTCTTGGTTCCACATAGAATCCTGCAACGTGTTGAATGAACCTCCAAATATGTGCACTGAAACTACAATTGAAGAAGAGATGGTCCAATGACTCTGCATCAGAGAGGCAAAGATAACAAGCATTGGTGTAGTGCTTCTTCCTCATTGGCTTAGTATCTAAAGTGAATAATTTGCCCCTACATGCAAGCCAAGTAACACAACTATGCTTTGGTTTGTTAATCTTGTACCAAAGCAGGTGTGACCAAGTGAATAAAAGTGATGGTGGAGATTGATACTTGATTGTATGTGAGAGTGAAAACTGCTTAGTAGGGCCTGGTAACCAAACAGTTTCATCATTCTCTGAAAAAGGTGTGGGAATGTCCTGCAATTGAGAGGTGAACTCATTGGATTGTAAGAATTGTTGATACTGTAAATTAGGTGGAATCACCCACTGATTAGTGAAAATTAGGCTATCAACTTTAATACTTGAATTAAGTTGAAGAATTTTCATATCAGTTAGGTGAAGCTGATCATAAAATGGACCATTTGGAAGCCAGTAATCCAACCACAAACTGGTGTCAGAGCCATTCCCAATTTTATGCTTGATGAGCCCCCTTGCCATTCCCCTCAGCTTCAATAATCTTTTCCAAAATCCTGAACTTAAAGCAACAGGTTTAGCATTCCAAATTGACTTGGTCTTGATTAGATATCTCCTAGTCCAGGCAACCCAAAGAGAATCCTTCCCTAAGCACAATTTCCAAATGTGTTTTGAGATTAGAGATTAAGTTAACCATCCCAATATCTGGAAATCCCAACCCCTCTTGATTATTTGAATTGCAAACAGCACTCCAAGCCACTTTTGCACCCCTTTTCTTTAACTCAATACCAGACCAGTAAAATGATCTGATAATTTGATTGATCTGCTCAATAATCCTTTTTGGTAATTATAGGTGTAAAATTTCGCTCAACCAATAATGATTGAGAAAAATAAAACAACTCACTCAAAAACAACAAAGATGAATAGGAACAATGTATAGAGAAGTGTAGAATTGCTTGATTCTTTTATTGGAGGTCTAGGCCTCTATTTATACATAAAAATTGGTAGAGTTAATGTAGGACTCGCGTTGCTTGTCCTCCAACTCTTCCCATACATGAATTTCTTTATAAATATAGTTCTTTCTATTGTATAATATTTCCTACGCAGAACTTGCCTTGTATAGAACTTCCTATCAAAGAATTCTCCTTTTTTGGTAAATCTTTCTACTGATAGGATTTGTTCAATCTTGGACAACTGGGCTGAATATACCTTGAACCAGTTGGGCTTGAATAATGGGCCGGATGTTTAATATTAACATGTTGGGCTGATAATCTCTTTATTCGGGTTTCAACAAGGCTGACAGTCAGATAACAATAGTATTGGGCTTGTGAATAGTAACCTTGGACTAGTATCAAACTCAATTTGGGTTTGAGCGAGGTGGGCTTCGTAAACTTATCAAGGATAAGTTTATATTTGAGATGATGTGTACAGTTCTCATTGGAGGGAGATTTTTCCCTCCACACTTTGCCCCCAATTCCCCTTTAATTGGATTACGGCTCCTAATTAAAAGGGAATTGAAGTTGTGCAGTTGCTACTTTCGCACGAGGCGTTTCCATTTGTGTCTATTGTTATTCTGACTCAAGGACTTCTTCAAGACTGCTTTCACCTTCATTGCGCTCGTTTCGTCCCTTTGCGTCCTTCTCATTCTCATATTACCAGGTTAGTTCTTCACTATCTTCTTCCACTCTTATATTATGAGTACTTTGAATACTCTTGAACATATAAAAATCGTGGATTCTGAGTCCACGCCCTCATCTTCCCCTAACCTTATTAGAGTTCCTCCTCCTAGGGTTTCAACCTTCCTTAGATCGGCAAATGACTTGGTCACTCAGCCGGATGTTTCCTTACTTCAGGCTGAGACATCCACCTCTAGGTCGGATAGTATTTTTACTAAGGAAGAACGAGATGTGATTTTATCTGTTCATTGTATTACGTTCTCCATTGAATTAGTAATGGAAGATTTTGAGATTCCCGAGGGGGTAGAAATAATAGAATACCCCAAGGGCGCTGATTTTTGCGCCGGCGAGGGCGTCGGGGATGACGAGTTACTCCTATCTGTTGGGCATCTTAACGCTCTTCGGTTCCCCCTTTATCCTTTTTATCACTTAGTTTTTAATAAATTGGGGATTGCTCCCCTTTAAGTAAACCCTAATTTCCTTCGAGTAATCTCGACACTCCTGATTCACCGACGGCTGGAGAGTCTTGATCTGACTCTGGCTAATTTGCTGAACACTTATACTATTTCCAAGCATGGGACCGAACCTGGTCGCTTCTATTTCACCTCTCCCTTGCATCAGAGGATATGTACGGACCTCCCTACTTTTGAAAAGAAGTGGAAGGAGAGGATGATAATTATTAAAGGGAGATAGGCTGTACCTCAATCGAGCAAACTCCCGATCCCATGCAAGTTTGGGAAATTAGGTATAGAATATGTCCCCTCTTTACATAAAAATTGCTCTCGTTGTTTTCCATATCGAGTCTTACTCTTTCGGTATATTTATGAATTTCTTGGTCTTATTTCAGTGACATTTCCTTCCTCTGTTGCAAAAAAGAGACTTTCTTTCCTTGAAAGTAGAGTCTGGTGCGAGCCCCCTTCTGTCGAGGATTTGCTTACTTCAACTAACCTTAAAGAAATCGCATCCCGAGCCAAAGCTGCAGACCTCATGGATCTATCTCTACCAACCTTTGACAGCTTTCCATTGACCGAGGAAGAAATGCAGAGGGCTGAAGCCCAAAAGAAGAAAATTGTTGAAGCTTAGCCTTTGATAGTCGTTAGGTCAACTGAGCACGAGATAGAGGTTGAGGAACCTCCTATGAAGAAGAATCGGTCCAATCCTCCCTCCCATGGCAAAGGTAAGACCCCTTCTAAGAGCAAGGAAAAAAAACCTAAAGAGGTTGAGCCAGAAGATGAAGTCAGAGCTTACGTCCTGGCTGAAACTGGGACTCCTTGGACACCCTCATTCTCTAGGGCTGATAAGTCAGTCTTGCACTCTGGAGATTCTATGATCACTGACCCATCAGCTACATTGGCAGTGGCTTGGGGAATGTGGCTCCCTAAAGATGAGGAAATTATCAGCAACATGGGGCTGGAACAGTTGCTTCCCTCTGCCCCCGTTCGTGCCATAGAGGTTTGCTCCACCCTATCTCCCTTGCTTTCTTATTTCTTGTTTCCACTATACTCATATGGCTATTTCTGTTGTTTGCGGATGTAGGGTCTGTATCACACTATAGCCTTGTGTGCCACCGCTGAAGCCCAATCTCTCTCAATCAAGAAGCTGGAGAAAGATCTTGGTTATGCTGAGAAGAAAGCCTCCAACGCTATCTTGAACTTAAAGGTAGCTTCGGACGCTAGGGATGTTTACAAAAAGCAACTGGCCACTTTTGAAGCTAAAGTGGCGACCCTGAAAGCTGAGGTATAGTGCTTGACCGATGCTCTCAACACTTGCATCATTGCTGGGAGGCAGATGTAAAGCCGTTATTCCTCCTTTGTATGCTTATCCAGTGCGAAAGCATACTGGGCCGGCTTTAATCAAGGATCAGGCCCCAAAACGACGGATCCTGATGCCTTTGATGCCAACATGGGGATATCCTTCCCTTATGATGAAGGTCCGAAGGCTCAGGAAGCTAAGGTTTTTTTTGCTGAAATGGTGAAAGCTCATCCTTCAAGCTCATCAACTCCTGCGGCTCCTAGTCCTTCAATTCCTCCAACGTCAAGTCCAGCTGTGATGGATGCTTTTGAGTCTGCTCTGTTTGATCCGAAGAGGAAATAGGAGCATGTAACCCCTTACTTTGTAATAGAACAATTTTGTTTTAGAATGATATAACCATGTCTTTTAGGCTGTAATGCCTTAATTTTGCCTCGAATGAATATTCCTGACTGCTTTTAATATTGCACAGACTTTGCTGAATGAGAATGTATTTTGATAAGAGAATAAGAGAAGTACCTTGCCTGAGGGTTTCATACTCGTTATAGTCCGAAGCAAAAATGAATAAGACATGAAGAAGGGATCTCCTTTGACGGTTTACCTGATACCAGAAGATTGTTTTCCCTCTAGTGATTTAACCGTCAAGGGAACCCTTTCTTTAATGGAGTTACGTGGGGTTGATATGTATATACTCGTTTCTTCTTGTATTTTTTCAATGTGGGACAACCTTGTGGCTCATACCACTATACTTAGAGCCAGTAAGTATGATCTCTACGGCATTTTAAAGCCTGAGACAATTGGTTCCTCAGTTCTGAGCTTGAGGAGAAATGTGTTGCACCAGACACTCGAGGTCTAAGGTGTTCTATTCCTCAGCATTGAGCTTGAAGGGAAGCGTGCGGAGCCGGACGTTTTGGGTCCGAAGTGAATAAATAACTTCCCAACGCTGAGGCTAAGGGGATGTTTGTTGAACCGGACACTTAGGGTCCGAAACGAATGAACTATTCCCCGGCGCTGAGCCTGAGGGGATGTTTGCTGAACTGGACACTTGGTGTCCGAAGCGAATGAATTACTCCCCGACGCTGAGCCTGAGGGGATGTTTGCTAAACCAGATACTTGGGGTCCGAAGCGAATGAACTACTTCCCGGCGCTGAGCCTGAAGGGATGTTTGCTGAACCGGACACTTGGGGTCCGAAGCGAGTTTCAGAAGTTTGTTTTTTTTTTTTTTTTTTTGGCTTGCAAATAATCGATTACGAGGCCAAAGATTCAGAAAATGATAAGAGGCCAAGAAAGAGAATAACAATGAATGTGCAGTCTTCCATTCGTGTTTGGGAGACTTTCTTCCACTGAGATTCTCTTCTTGGCGACCTTATGTGGTGGACTAGGTATATATCAACTGCATCCTTTTTCTACTTCTATTCGATGTGGGACATAGATGAATATAAGTCTATAATTCCAGTATTACAAAAAGGTCAGTGTAAGGAATGCCTCTGGTACTAGGCGTGGCCGCTTTCAATACCAGTGGGCCCTCCTTACACTGCACTCAACTATTTTAATATTTCCATATATAATGGAATGAAAAACGTACTTTTTTTATCGATGTGGGATCGAGACTAGTACTTTTCATATGGGCCAGAGCTTGGGGTTTTTGTTTGCAAAAAAGAATCATTATGGCCTTTTGATATCAATTACTATGGCCTTGATATTGCTTCTTGGCCTAAAAAGTTGGCATAAAAATTGCATAATGCGTTTTGGCATAAAAATTGCATAATGCGTCTTGGCATAAAAATAATTGTTATAGGGTACCAGTATAGCCTCCATTTTTATGGAAAGACAGAAATGAAGTAGAATTGTATCCCATATCGAATATGATAACAGAAAGAAATAACTGGACTGATAATGGGCATAAACAGCTTTATTTATGTGAAGAAATTCTTGCAAACTTATCTATTGGTAGTACCTTTTAAGGTGTATCGCATTCCAAGGACGCGCAATGGGATGCCCGTCTGCTTCGGCCAAACGGTATGCTCCCTTCCCCTCTACCTCGGTAACCCTATAGGGTTTGATCCATTTAGGCTCGAGTTTCTTTACATGAGTTATCTCTTGCTTCAAAACCCAATCGCCTACCACAAAGCTCCTGAACCGGACACGTTTGTTATCACTGCGGCGCAACTGTTGCTGGTACGAAGCAAGCCTAATTGCTGCAGCATCTCTCTTTTCGTCCAGGAGATCGAGGCTGTGTTTGAGCTGCTGCCCATTGTCCCTTCAAGTAATAAGAATGTCTAAAGGGTTGGAACGGCTGCCTAGGTTGGGATCACAGCTTCGGAACCATAGGCCATGGCGAATGGACTCTCCCCGGTGGGTTGTCGTGGAGTGGTTCAGTACGCCCAAAGTACCTGAGGGAGATTCTTGTACCATTTTGTTTTAAGTTTCTCCAACTTCTTCTTTAGACAACTGAAAATGGTGCGGTTAGTTATTTCAGCTTGCCCATTTCCTTGTGGATGACTAACTGTAGCCAGCTTCTGCACAATTCCATGTTCGGTGAAGAGCTTTCTTGTACTCTTATTGTCAAGGTTTGTACCATTGTCCATCATAATGACCTTTGGTACCCCAAACTGGCAAATGATGCTTTTCCAAAGGAAACTTTTTACCTGCTTATGGGTTACACTTGAATAAGCCTTGGCTTCCACCCATTTTGTGAAATAATCTGTAGCTAGTAGCGCGTATTCCTTTTGTTCCACGGTCTTGGGTAAAGGGCCCACCATATCAATCCCCCATTGTGCGAAGGGCCACAGATTTGCCATTACGTGCAAATCTTCGGCAGGTTGATGCTTCATTGGACCGTGGCGCTGACATTTATCACATCTGCGAGCGTATTCTTCAGCATTCCGAGCCAAGTATGGCCAAAAGTAGCTTTGAGTTAGAACCTTATGTGCGAGGGATCTACCCCCAGAATGGTTTCCACAATCTCCATCATGAATCTGCTTCAATACCACCAGAGCCTCAGTGGGCTTAAACATTTCAAGTAAGGGCCTGAAAATGACTTTCTGTTCAATTGATTATTGATGATGGCATATTTAGCTGCGATGAGTCTGAGCTTCCGTGCCTCAGTTTTTTGGTTTGGAAGAGTTCTATGCTTGAGGTAGGTTTCCAATGGATCAATCCAACATGGCTTTAGCAGAACGACTGGGATCACCATCACCTCTTGCCGAGAATTATTACTAGGTTCGTCTAAGATGTCAATTAGTATGATCCGAGTCAGATCTTTATTTGAGGATGACGTTACTGTGGCCAATTGATCTGCTTCAGCATTCTCAACACGAGGTACTTGGTTGAATTCGATTTGATCGAATCCTCGTGTAACATTCTCTACAGCTTCCTTGTATGCTTTCATCATTTCTTCTTTGGGACGGTATTGACCTGTCACTTGATTTACAAGAAGTTGTGAGTCACTAAAAACTTTTAAACACCGTACCTGAAGCCGGCTAGCCAATCGAAGACCAGTGAGTAAAGCCTCATATTTGGCCTCATTGTTAGTAACAGGGAAATTCAAGCAAATGGACTGCTGTAATTTGGTGTCTTCGGGTGTTGATATAACAACCCTAACTCCTGCACTTGTTTGGTTTGAGGAGCCATCGACCTGAAGCTCCCAGTGTGGTTTAGGGAGCTCTGGTCCTTCGGGAGTGTCCTTATATTCTAAGAGAAAATCTACTAAGGCTTGTCCCTTGTGTGACACTTTCGGCTCATAGGTTATGTCGAAGGAACTAAGCTCAATGGCCCATTTGCTAATCCTTCCAGATAAATCTGGCTTAGAGATTATACCCCGTATAGGGTAGTTGGTGAGTACCACGATGCTATGAGATTCGAAATAATGCTAAAGTTTCTTCTTCGTATAAACCAAGGCTAGGATGATTTTTTCTGCTTTGCTATACCGTGTCTCTACATCCGTCATTGTCTTACTTGTGTAGAAGACTGGGTATTGATTCTTTCCTTCTTCTCTAATTAGCACTGCACTTGTCGCTATGCTGGAAATTGCTAAGTACATAATAAGAACTTCTCCCGATTTTGGAACGGATATAATTGGAGGTTTAGCCATATACTGCTTTAACTGGTTGAGGGCCACCTGTTGCTGAGGTCCCCATATATCTTTGTTCTTAGATTTTATGGCATCAAAGAACGGTTTGCACTTATCTAATAATCGAGATATAAACCGGCTAAGAGCTGCGATCTGACCGGTTAAAACTTGCACCTCCCTACGAGTTTTTAGTTCTTGGTTTTGCATGAGGGCCTTAGCCTGAGTTGGGCTTACCTCTATCCCTCTTTTATTCACGATATGGCCGAGGAATTGACCTGACGATACCGCAAAGGAACACTTGGAAGGATTCAGCTTCATGTTGTACTTCTTCAGAGTGTCAAAGACTTCCTAGAGGTGTTTCGGATGGTCTTCCTTCTTTACACTTTTGACCACCATGTCATCTATGTACGCTTCAACCGTTTTTCCTAGCAAATTATTGAAGATCTTGTTAACAAGGCGTTGATAAGTGGCCCCGGCATTCTTCAGCCCGAAGAGCATGACCTTATAACAATAGGTACCCTTTTCTGTAATGAAAGCAGTTTTTTCTTCATCTTCTGAATTCATAGGAATCTGATTATATCCTGAGTACGCATCAAGGAACGTGAGCCTCTCGTAGCCAGTAGTAGCATATACCATCTGATCTATCTTTGGCAGAGGGAAGCTATCTTTAGGAGAGGCTTTGTTGAGGTTGGTATAGTCTACGCAAACCCTCTACTTCCCATTCTTCTTTTAGACGACCACCACGTTTGACAGCTACTGTGGATATTACACCTCTCGGATGAAACCTGTTTGCAACAACTTGTTCACTTCTTTAGCTATAATACGATTGCGTTTAGGGGCAAACCTTCGGTGTTTTTACTTGACTGGTTTGAACTCCGGATCAACCTTTAGGTTATGGCAGGAAACTAAAAGGTCGATCCCTACCATATCAGAATGATCCCAAGCAAAAGCTTCTGTATTACTTCGAATGACGTTGATTAATGCTTCATTCTCCTCGGATGTGGAGGAAGAGCCTAGATAAGTAACCTTCTGAGGATCGCCGAGGATAACTTCCATGGCTTTGAGGATCTCCTCGGTAGGCTTTGCAGTTTTTTCTTCCTCCTCTACCTTAAGATACTTGGGCAGAGGACTCTGTAATTGCTATTTGGGTGTAATTTTTGGAGTCATGCTTGGTTGAGGCTATTTAGGGAACCTCCTTGCTTCAGCCTGTGTCAGCATATAACATTCTTCGCAGCGACTTGATCTCCCCATAGATTAATAACCTTTTTTCCATCCGGAGACAAACACCGCATCACCTGATGAAGGGTGGACGGGACTCCATTCATTCGGTGTATCTAGCCTCTTCCTATAATGAGATTATAAGAAGAGTGGATCACTGTAAAGATAAAGTTCTCCTTCAGAGTCCTCTTTGCCGCGGTTATGGATAAGTCAATTACCCCAAGAGGATCTACTTTGGTGCCATCGAACCCCATCAACGGGCTAGAAGTAGATCGAATTGATGATGACGGGATCTCGAGCTGCTCAAAGACTGACTTTGTGATGATGTTAGCACTACTCCCTTGGTCTATCAAAACCCTCTTAATCACGTAGTTCGCCACTAAGAGACTAATGACCAATGGATCCTCATGGGGAAGCTGAACTCTGGATAGGTTGCCATTGCCGAATCCAATACTGATGCTGCCCGAAGTGATAACATTGACCGAGGATAACTTTCTGAGCTTATGGGCTGCCCTCAGCCTGGATCTGTATACCACCTCAGACTCTTGATCATCTTCAGATCTGCCATGTATTACGTGAATGACTTTTACTTGATTACCTTCTACTTTACAAGGGTTGACTTCGCGGGGCCTTACATACTCCTTTGCCGGGAGATAATCTGCCAACTCACCTCTGGCTATCATGCTCTCCACTTGTCGCCTAAGGGATCTGCAATCATTGGTATTTGTAATCATTGATTGAATGCCCATAATCTCGATGATAAACGCAATGCTTGCTTTTGTCCCTCTGCTCTAAGGGTTGCTTCATTGGCTGTGGGGCTGTGAACCTCATCTTATTCTCTTAGGAAAGCCGAGCCAGGGTAGTTCGGAGAGGTGTAAATCCTTCCTCTACCCTTTGCCTCTTCTCGGGTGCCTGGGTGATTGGCGTTGAGACGCGCTGGCTTTTCTGGATTTTTGAATTTAGAATTCTCTCCCGAGGCTTGTTCTCCACTGTCACGAAGGTGGCATGCTGCGCTCGGTGGGCTACATTTTCCTCGAGCCGGATGTAGATCTGGGCCCTGGCATTGAGAATCTGCATGTCGGGAGGAGAATACTTAACCAAAGAAGTATGAAACTTCGTCCCTTGAATCATTGCAAGTTTGAATGTCTCTATAGCTGTTGCAGGATGACAATCTGCTATTTCTGAGGCTTCCATATTGAATCTGGATAAGAAATCCTACAGTGATTCCCCTTTCTTTTGCCTTACGGTGAAGAGGCTAGCAATACTCTTCTTTTGCTTCTTATTACCACAGTATTGTGTTAGGAACACAGTGCACAGAGTTACGTAATCCAGGATGGATTTGTGTGGCCTATTCCTGAACCACTCAAGTACAGCTCCTGTCAGACTGGTAAGAAAAACTCTGCACATCCATGGATCATTACGATCGTCCAAGGCCATCTTTTGGGCGTAGTGATCCAGATGCCGAGAAGGATCTCCTGTGCCTTCAAACTGAGTAAAAGAAGGCATGGTAAACTTCTTGGGCCTCTCGACCATATATGCATCATCAGTGAAATAAGTCTTCACCAGGGAGTTTTTGTGTTCTCTGGCCATCTCAGTGGCCTTTTCTCATCGAAGGCATCCTGTACACCAGTGCCATCTGGAATACTATTGTACCATACCGTAAGCTTACGACTAGAATCGGCCTGTTCATCCTGTGTGTGGCGAGGAAAGTTGTCCGAAGCAATTGCCTCGGTCCTTGTCCTCTACTGTTGCTTATCCTCGTTCGGCTGAGCCTCAGTGGGTCGTGCCCCATTAAGTTGAGGCACGTTGACCGGAGGGATATTCTGATTAGGGGGTGGTGCTGCTGTATCACCGGGTGGTGGCGGTGGTGTCAACTGAGCCATCGCCGTTTGAAGAGTGTTATTCTGCTGTTGAAGTAAAGTGATATGGGCAACGCTAGCTTCGTTCGTTTGACGAAATACTTCAAACTGGTGCAGAAACTCTTCACGCATCTTCTGCATCAACTCCATCTGTTGATCGGCTAAAGATCCTCGGTTCGACATTCCAGATGGTAGCAGTAGAAACAAAAGTGGGAATATATTTGCATACACTTCCCACAGACGGTGCCAAAGTGTAGGTGTAAAATTTCGCTTAACCAATAATGATCGAGAAAAATAAAACAACTCACTCAAAAACAATAAAGATAAACAGGAACAATGTATAGAGAAGTGTAACATTGCTTGATTATTTTATTGGAGGTCTGGGCCTCTATTTATACATAAAAATTGGTAGAGTTAAGGTAGGACTCGCATTGCTTATCCTCTAATTCTTCCCATACATGAATTTCTTTACAAATAGAGTTCTTTCTATTGTATAATATTTCCTACGCAGAACTTGCCTTGTATAGAACTTCCGATCAAAGAATTCTCCTTTTATGGTAAATCTTTTTACCGATAGGATTTGTTCAATCTTGGACAACTGGGCTGAATATACCTTGAACCAGTTGGGCTTGAATAATGGGCCGGATGTTTAATATTAACATGTTGGGCTGATAATCTCTTGATTCGGGTTTCAACAGGGCTGACGGTCAGTCAAATAACAATAATATTAGGCTTGTGAACAGTAACCTTGGACTAGTATTAAACTCAATTTGGGTTTGAGTGAGGTGGGCTTCATAAACTTATCAAAGATAAGTTTATATTTGAGATGACGTGTACAAAAGCTTGGGACCAGAAAGAATGCATTGAGCTCAACATTGATTTTATAAGCACAGCTCTTCCAGTATAAGATATGAACCTAGATGTCCACATGGATATTCTTGATGTAATTCTTTGAACTAGTGTTTGGCAATCTCTAGCATTGATAGATGAGGGTGAAAGAGGGAGTCCCAAATAAGCAACTGGCAGTGAACCAGTTTCACATTGCAATAAGGACAGAATTGAGACCTTAACTTGGTTGCTAACCCTTGTGAAGAAGACTTGGCTTTTAGTGCAGTTGATTGAGTGAAGAAGATTGGTTTTTAGTGTAGTAAGAACTAGTGTATGATTGTTGTTGTTATATAAAATCCCTACGCTTCTCGCGCCGGGCTATTGGCTCTTTTCTCTGGAGTTATTTTGTTTCCAATCACTATGGTACATGTATAACGGTTCCTCTCATTCTCTTTAAAAACTATCTCTTTATTAAATGGCTCATTTCTTTCTCTTTCTAGACGCTCTGTTTCTCTCTTTAAATTCTCTCTCTAGACCGCTTTTTGGTCACTTTGTAATAGGTAGGGGTGGCAAATTATAACACAACAATACGACACGCATACGAACACGACACGAGTTAAAAAGGTTTGGGTTTGACATAAATGGGTTTGGGTTATAAAAGGGTTGATATGATTTATTCGTTTACTTAACCGTGTCGGGTTCCGTTTATGACTCATTTAACTCAACATGTTATAATCGTGAATATGACCTATATAATATGTTACGTGTTTAATTAAACCCAATTACTATAGATAGTTAAATCATTTCAACATAAACCTTGTCTATGCCTTATAATTATTCTTTTTATTTTAAATAATTGGGTTAATTATGACAATTTTTTTTTTTATTATTTAGTATTTGATTAAATATTAAATATCTCCTTTTAATAAAAATGTCATTAACGGGTTAACACGTTTACTTGTTTAATAAATGGGTTGGGTTGAGATTCTTGACACGATTATTAAATGGGTTGGGTTTGGGTTTACCTATTTAGTATAATACCCTTACATCGATATGATACGAAACGAACACGACCCACAGATACGAATTGCCATCCCTACTAATTTGCAACTCTTTCACCTATTTGATTGACGTTTTCAATGCCATATGATTTTGTTGAGGAGGTCAAGAGTGAAATTGATAAGCTCGAAAAATGATTTTCCGAGCATTAATTGGAAAGTTGTTTTGGTTAAATTTTGGGAAACTTTTTCCATCCGTAAAAATTTTCTTTGAATTTGGGACTACCAAACACCGGAAAATACAAAAAATGTTTTACGCTCAAACAAACGGAGCTTAAGTGTCCAAGTCATTTGGTTATACTAGCTTATATAAAAGACATTATATGTAGTAATATAATCAAAGTAATTCATTTTAACTCTTTTTTCTTTTTCTTCTTTTTTTATTTTTTATTTTTTATTTTTATGTTTTTATCATTGGCAAGAAAAACACACACACTTTACTTCTTTGGGACTCGAACCCTCACCATCCACAATTCCACTTTGACGTCCAATAAGGCCCTTAATGTAATTCATTCTAACTTATTCTCATATACTTATTCTTTTGGTATTTTTTATTATTTTTTATTTTGGTTTTTAGATTGTTAGGAGTTTGGTGACATGTTATAGTAAGTACTTTTTATATTTAAATTTATTTAATAACAATATTTTTTGAAACCCTTGTATTTTTAATTTTAAAATAATATACTTTAATATAATGTTACCATATTTGTTAATAACAACTTTATATAAGAAGGGCTAAGATTGTCTTTATAAAAATAAAAAATGATAAAATTGTATAAGAAAAAATACTTACTTAAAAAGTTTCACAAGTTTTTAAAATAGGGTAATTTGTACTAACACCCCTCAGGTTTGCAATAAAGATATATATATATATACTGCTTGGGGAGAGTATGATCCAATTGCCCCCAAGGTTACAAACTTAAACAACAACACCCCAACCATGATAAGAGTATGTAATTGCCATTTGACTTCTTCATTAACCCATTTAAATTACAAAAGTACAATATTAACCTTTATAAGTCATTTTATTCTACCAAAATGACCCTTAGCAACAAAAAAAGAAAAAGAAAAAAAACTCCACCACTGTGGCCCCCAACCCCATATGGATACAAACAGGGTGTAACGACCCGAACCCGTGGGTCCGAACCGTTAACTGGGTCCTTACCCAAACCCGAAGACACCTAAGTCAATCCCGTCACGTCTAGGGTTAAAAACGTCATTTATAGGTCATATTTATATATGCTTCACAAGGCTCTAAACAACTTCCCAGAGTTTCTAGATAAATTATGCCGAAACAGGGAACAAGAAAAGCCAAGCAGCATCAGTTCAGTTGATCGAAGTGATGTTTCGGTCAGCCGAAGCAGACCCCCTGAACCGATCGACCAAAATAAGGTTTCGGTCGGTCGAAGTGCAAAGTCCCGAGGCTGTGAAATGAATCAGTCGACCGAAGTACCTATTTCGATCGACCGAAATGGCTCTACGAACCTTAAAATCAACTACTGAATTTGTTGAAATGAAAAAGTGAAGAACTGTGATACCCCTTGATTCTAGAGCCACGGGTGATCAAGTCCGAGCATAGATCCGAGGGATACCAGATAATTAAGTATTTAAACAAGCATAATTATGAGAGGAATTTAATGAATAAATAAATAAGCTGAAAGAATTCTAAAATAAAAATTCTTAAAAGGTATATAATCCCAAAACTGCTAAAACCTTCAATATTATTACAACTCGGGAATCTATCTAGAACCCCTAATAATACTTCAGCTGAAAAATAAATAACTGAACTAAAGGAAAGCCAAAACTAAAATATAAGTAGTAGCCTTACGTAGTCGGAGGAGTGAGTGACTGTTTCTGCTCAGCATGATCAACCTCTACGCCTGGAATTGTCGAACACCTGAAAAATGATAGTGGGTCAAGACTACGAGCAAGTTCTATTCTATTACAACCCAAACAAAGACCCGATATGCATGTACATCCTAAACAACTCAACAATAACTATAT